CTGACTGCAGCACTGAGTGACGCGAGTTCGAATCTCAGAAGGGACATAACTTCCTTCAAGGTAGTTGCAGATACGCCTTGCTGACTGGTGAGTGCCAACTAGCATGGGGCATAGGTCAGGCAAGGTGTCCTGCCGATTGCCTCCAACCAATTAATACCGACAATTCACAGTGCACCGTGATGGCGAGCTACCTGGAAAGGTGGCCATACTGCAAGCTTGACTAATAGAATTTAGTCTGCACCGAAGATAGGACTAAACACATTACACTAGTTACTGACTAGTGTCCAGTCAAAGAAACAGTTGTTTCTGAAACTACGATTCATTGGGTATGTGGTTAGTGAAGTCCTACCTCTAAGGGGCTATGCAGAGGCAAAAAATGGACTTATATTGCTGCCACTATTTGTGTGTCATTTACCAGTCGACTAGCTGTGATTGATCAAGTGGAAGATAAGTTGCCTAGCTGTACCACTTCTATGGGAATTTATAAGTTTGGCTGCTGTGATAAACACATAGGGCGAACAGTCAAAGGACTCATCAAACACATTACAGAGCGTCTTCCTTCATGGTTCGCTGAAGACCATAAGGTGTTGTATTTTGTCGTATATGATTGATAATGGTCACCAAGTGGACAGAAGAAGAAGTGCCTTCAGGGTTATCTGTTGCATTTCATCAAAGCTTTCGAATGGAATTTGAACCTGCCTTTTAAACATCGTCGAAGCTATGGGAATTCGAGGGAAGAATCGTGGTCTTTGTATAAAAAAGAAGTTTGTTCTACCTTCGTCTCTCCCTTGGCCTGAGTAAAGTCTAATTAAAACTTTCCCAACCTTTCTAATCCTTCATTTCCTTCGTATTTTTATAATATTTATTCAAACTCTTATTAAATATCCATTTCAACCTTAGTATCACGTAACTTTTAGGATTTGACATAGTTTATTTATTGAATTATCTACATATACACACATATTACTACCTCTATTATTCTTATCGCCACCGGCATAAACTCCCTTTACTTTTGTTAACACTAACCTTATTATCAGAACAACTGAGAATGTGAAGCCCACATATTTATCTAAGCCATTAGAACATGAGAAAAATGATGTCACATCCTACTGTACGTGTGGACACACATACGTAGGGAGGACTCATCGATCTGTGCAAGTTAGGTCTGGCTTCCGAGCATATTCCTAAATGGCTTCAGAAGCAAATAGAGTCCCCAGAACCCATTAATGGTGAGAACAGGCGACCTAGCTCCTACACTGCGAAACATATTATAGAGACAGGACACAAAATTGATGTTTACACATCTTTTAAACCTATCTATGAAACGTGTCTGGTGCGTAATTATTGATATAAGTATAAAACTTGGGCACTGTGGTAGAGTGAGTATAACTCCATTATGGATAAGATTTTATTCTGATAAATCAAACAGTGTTATACAGTAATATTTACTGATGACCACATTTCCAGCACAAACTATTGCCACTCGTAATCATATCAAGTCACTCACACAACTTTCTTACTTTATTTATATACATGAGTGGGATTGATTAGACATTTGAACAAAAATCAATATGCCATATGAGGAGGGAACATCTGAGGCTCTACGTAGGATTCTCAATAAAGCAGGAATCAGGGTGGTATTCAAACCTACAAACTCACTCAGCGACAAGCTTTGTGGGCTAAAGGACCTTGTCGATGGACCCAATTAAACAAAATAATATAATTTGCAAAATAGGTCAGGGGTAGTCAGATTGTCGGAACATAATAATTTAGCTAAGGTAAGAATGGTTGACTACGAGAAGATGCGTAATTTAGAAATAAGCTCAGCGACTGCACTGCGTGCATTAACACACAACCACACAACGGGATGGGTGGGACAGAGTGAAAATTCTAAAATGTAATGTAGTTAAGTGGAGATAGAGAGATTGATTATTGAATCCTGGTTCATAGAGTCTACACCCAACACATGCAAGAGAAATGACTCGATGCAAATACCAGAGATATGGAGGATATTATTACCACCAGTCAGTTAAATCAGAGGAGGATAATAAATAATCCTAAAATTTTATTTCAATTCACATTCATTATAACATTCTAACAAGTCACTTATTTTTACTGTAAAAAATATCTTACTCCCCATCTTATTGTATTTCTGAATGGACATTTTCCTATATTGATTTTTATTTAAATGTCTAATCAGTTCCAAACATGTATATAAATAAAGTAAGAAAGTTGTGTGAGTGACTTGATATGATTATGAGCAGTAATAAATTATGCTCGAAATGTGGTCATCAGTAAATATTACTGTATAACACTGTGTGATCTATCAAAATAAAATCTTATCTCTAATGGTGTTTGGGACGTATTCTAAAGTTTGTGGAAGCCCTAAGTGACAGTTAGGAAGTTTAAACCACCTTTATGTGTTCAAAGCAACAGTTCGTCATCACATTAAACCTTCTTTGGTAAACTTTATTATGATACGAGGATAGACGTACTGCTAAGTCCCTTCGTTGTTTTAGAGATTATTGTTATTTTGACCTTCAATATATATCCTTTTAACTTAAGCTTAGTCTATTTTCTCACCTCTTAACTCTTTATTAATTTCACATATATATCTATTCCTATGACAAGTCCGTGTGTGATCAAATTGCTCGAAATGTGTAGCGCAAATACACATTACACGATTCAGACAAAATTACGTCTTCTAATTGCCTTGACATTATTTCTGTTAGCATTATAATCATGGTTATTTCTGGCATTTAAAGCATTGAACACTTACCATTTTCGATCCACACGCTAAGCGTCATTGGTTAAAATTTTTATGTATAAAGCTACTGTAGAGTCTGAATAAGATTTAATTAATGTTCATATGAACTGTGATCAAGATTTGACCGAATACTTCCAGAATAATTGGGAGCCGAGTGAGAAGTAGACATATGTAAATATTGTATTTGTAAAATCTCAGCGAGATTGAAATGATTAATTCCAACGTTTCGTTCGGCAATCTGGTCCGAATTTCTTCAGGGAAATTAGTCGAAATTAACATAACAGAGGTTTACATATAAAAGGAACAACTCTTGTTTTTAAAAGCTTTGTCCAGTCACATGAGTCATGAAACAGGTATCAACATGTATAATAAACAAAATTGTATGAACTGTGATCAAAATTTGACCTCAGATTTAGAAATATTAGTCTACTTTTGCTAAACAATTTAAACAGAGTGTACATTTTATCAGATTACATTAAAGTAAAAGTTCATGGTCGTTGATAAATGAATATGAAGAATATATATGTGTGAATATGTAGTATACAATGGTGTGTTTGTGTGTATAATAGAGAAGATTTGTAGCTCAAGTGGATGATTTTGGTGTGGTTGTGTACTCTGAGCTGGATGGTTTGGTTGCGAAGCTTTCATTGCTCTACTGAGCAACATCTTCAGCGCATACTTCGATGTGAAGTGAGCTTTTAGAATTCTCCATGAGTTTATTAGTCATCTCTTCTAGTAACCTTGAACGTGATTGGTTGTTTTCGTGTGACATTTCACCCCCTAGTTTGCTTGTCGCGGTGCTGGCTGCTTCTTTGGTCTGAATGTCGTTAGTCATTCCTTCTGCTAACCTTGAACGTGATTGGTTGTTTTTGTGTGACTTCTCACTTTCTAGTTCACTTGTTTCGGTGTTGACTGTTTCCTTGACCTGAAGTTTGACTTTGTTTTTGTGTGAATTTCTTCGTATGGATTGGTATATTTTGTCAATCTCTATGTGTCTATTGATTGCTGATTCATTTGTGTGTTTGTGTGTGTGAGTGGGTGAACAGGCATAAAACATTTGTTAGCTTAACCATAAGAAGATATAGACAATCGGGAATTTTGACCAAATATGATTAATTATTGATACATATCCATTTTTTATTTATTAGTTAGGATTTGCCATGCATCAGCTAACATCAGACCTTCATGTCTGTTCGAACTGCTAGGATTCACCCATATATGTAGGACTTCGGCAGTCAGTCTCTCTTCATTCGAAACCAAAACCTTTCCGTAGAACCTTAGTCCTATCGAAGTCGATTTTGTGTCCCATTTCTATCAAGTGCAGTGCAGTGCAGTGCAATCGCCAATCTGTTTTCCACCTACTTCAAATTTGCAGAGGTCTTTGGAAACACCTTTAGACATTGTTTATGCTCCTTCACTGTTATATTTACCTGTGTGGAAGTTCCTCCTACATATACGGAGTCAAAGCCTCCACAATTGATCTGGTATAGACAATTCTGTTGGTTGTCTTCTGCTATTTTATCCTCTACCTTCATCAGTGATGAACGTAAGGTGTTAGTTGCACGCAAATACACTCTTGTGTTATGATCGTTAAGGATTCGCTTTATCTCATCCGATGTTTGTTTGCTGTAAGGAATCATCGCTGTACTAACCCAATTCTTAAGCAACAGGTTTCGATCCATCCTTATCTTCACATTTTAAATGTCTTTTTATAAAGTCTTTAGGATAATTATTTGATTCAAGAGTGGATTGAACCAATTTTAGTTCCTTGCCAATCTCTTCCTCCTGAGTAACTAGACGTTTGGCTCTGTTAATCAGATTCTTGGCCATAGTTACTTTGGTGGTAAAGGGGTGTGCTGAATAGTAGTCTAAGTATATCTATCCAAATTTGTCGGCTTTCTGAAAATGTTTATTTTAAATTTACCATTTAGTTTTCTTTGTACTAAACAGTCCAGGAATGCCAAATCATTCTCGTCGGATTCAACCTCTTTGGAAAACTTGATGGTTTCTGATATATTGTTTATTAAGTGAAAAAGTTCATTCAACAAACTACGTCTGGTTATGATGAAGATATCATCCACGTATCTTAACCACATTTTTGGAGTACTGTTCGCTTATATGTCTTGGTTTAGTATGAGTAATAGTTAAACATATCATCAACCAACTTCACATTGATCACTGATTCGTTCTGTCAGTATCTACTATTCACGCTTTTGTTTTCTTTTCTTATTAGGCATGGATTACAGCTTTGGGGACTGCTTCAAGTGCGGCTACCCTGCCGATTACATTTCGTTGTCTTGAACAAAATCTTGGCATTGATAAACGTGTAACTCGATTTGTCTTACCGATTGGTGCAACAATCAATATGGATGGAACTGCATTATACGAGGCTGTTGCTACAATATTTATAGCACAAATAAACGGGAAAGATTTGTCCATTATTGAAGTTTTCATTATAAGGTGGGTTAAAGGTTATAAAATTCTTTCATTCCTTTGAGGTACGCGTGAAATATACAACTTTGAGTTGTATTTTGACATTTCATTGGGGATGTTGATTTTACAGACTAGAGCTGCAAGCCTCACGCTTAGATGTCTCTTTTATCCGGATTAACTACTAGCCAGTAAACTAGATTAAGTTTCGTAGTGTATCGGCTAGCAAGAACCGAACTCACACCTACAGTGTGCTTGATGAGCCTTCTAACACTGAAATACAGTGGTATATGTCATCCATTTGAAAGTGTAGGCTCAGTTAGTTGGCGTCTCTCCCTTCATTTACCGTTAGAATTGTAATATTGTACATCTAATGCCTTAAAAATCGGGTTCTATTTTGTTATTATTATTATTCCATTGTGCTCCGAGTAGGATTTAAGGTCTTCACCAGAACACCTCAACTTTGTTATGTTCTCAGCAGTCCTCTTCATCTGGATTCATGACCACCCATAAGCTTCAATCTTCTTCACATACGATCTCCTACATATCAACCTCGGACCGACGTTCAACTCACTTGAGCTATGGCCTTAACGGCGGACGCACCCCGCTTGTGCGTCGGTGGCACAGTAGTAGAGTGCTCGCCAACCATGCCTCATGTGGGGTGGGGTTCGATCCCCGGCCGACGCACTCCCAAACCTCGCTAAGCCAGTAATAAGACTGATTAAGAAGAAGGGTTAGGTATGAGGCTAGCAACCCCATCCTGTGAAAATAATCACAACTGCTACGGAAACTTCAAGCCTGTAGCTTGAAGCCCCCTATGTTCTACTGGGAACGTGAAGGAATAAAGAAAATATGGCCTGCACTGAGCGCTATGCCACTCGACAGTCTCATCAGCGTGTGTCCTATCCATTTCCATTTTCTCCGGAATATATTTCGGCTAGTATGTTCTTGATTAGTTCATTCCCAGAGTTTCTTGTTGCTAATCTCTTCTGATAGACCGGTCATCTGATTCGCTGTATTATTATCATTATTGTATCCTTTAATTCCTAGAGGAACATAGGGCTTCAGCTATGCGTCTCCATTGCGTTCTGTCTGCCCACACGTTCTCATCTCCTCTTCACATGACCTCCTCCAAGTCACCCTTGCACTGAAGACAAACTCGCCGCTTCCCTTTCCAGTTCCATTCAAGCAATGGCTTGTCTATTGATGTCACTTGATGCATTGTTTCCTCAGAGTATGGCCAATCCATCTCCATTTCTTCCTGACTATTTGTTTCACAATCGGTTCCTGGTTGGTTCGCTCCCAAAGATCCCTGTCGCTAATATTTTCTCGCCATCTGATCTTGAATAGTATTGAGCGAAGACAACTGTTAATGAAGGTCTGTAGTTTGTCTGAAATGCTCTTCATGACGCGTTGGCCAAGTCTCTGATCCGTATAGTAAGTAGCACTGACTGACTTCACATTGGAGTTGAAAATCCGGATCTCATTTTCATTTTCATGCTGAGTGCTGCTGACCTCCACACAGACTTGAGAGTAGTGAAAGCTCGTCTTGCTTTCCCGATTCTTCCTTTGATATCCTCGTCAGTTCCGCCTGTAGTTGAAACGACACTTCCCAGGTAGGTAGGTTGGTAGGTTGTTTGTTTCAGGTTCCTTCCATTTATGCTGATCGTTGTCTGTTGTTGTTGTTGCTGTTGGTGGTGTTGCCCAGGAATCTTCATCACCTCTGTTTTATCTATGTTCACCTGAAGTCCTATCTTTGATGCTTCTTCTACCAACTTGTTGCTTTTCGCTTGCATATCTTCCAGTTTGTGGGAAATCAGACATGTATCATCGGCGAAGTCAAGATCCTCCAAGTTTTTTGTGTGGGTCCATTTCATGCCTGTTTCCTCATTGCCCACTGTTTGCCGCATTATCCAGTCTACTGCAATCAGGAAAATCATTGGCGATAGTAAGCAGTCAGCTTGTCTTACTCCTGTCCTCACTTCGAAGGGTTCCGTAAGTTTCCCGTTGTGGATTACTTGGCATCCAGCATTGTCGTACAGCTGTTGGATGAGATGTATAATTGTCGGTCAGTGAAAGCAGCTGTTGATAAAAGTCTGCCACAGGCTGTTAGAAAAGTGTTTCATGACACGCCAAGTTTCTGACTCATATGGAAACATTGATTGTTATAACATTGGTGTTGAAAATCCTAACTTAATTCTGTGTTTTGAATGAAATAGATTTTCAAACTGACTTCAGAGTGATGAAAGTCTATCTTGCCTTTTTGACATCCTCAGCTGTGCTGTCGCCTGTTGCTTAAGCAATTTTTAAAGCAAACAAATGATTAATATACTTAACTAATGATTGCAGTTTTCATGCATTCCAGCATTCAGTGTACTGCCTTCTTTCCTCAATTATCTTATCAGTAGCATACGCCACGATGTTACTCCAAATTGTTCTCAAAGACTGGCGCAGACGCATTCATTCTTTGTGATTTATAACATCCAATAAAATTCTATTCTTCTTTCATATTACTATTGTTCTCTGTTATTTCTGTTTATTATCTCCCTTTTTCGAATCTCTCGTTGCTCTCTTCTCTTGCTTTGTGTGCTGCATGGAGGGAGTGTGCTAACTCGAACTGGTGCACATCTGTGCAAGGTTCTATGTTGAATCCAGTCAGTCAGTCGTCACTTATTGGGAGGATACAGGTATATCCACCACCTGACATAATATTATTGTCGTTTCCTTTCGTTCCCAGAGGAACATAGGGCTTCAGCCGGACGTCTCCATTGCGTTCGGTTCTCTGCCAACGTTTTCACCTGGCTCAAGTCTGCCCACATGCTTTCATCACCTTATCACATGACCTCCTCTATGTCACCCTCTCACTGAAAACCAACTCACCACTTCCCGTTTGGGTTCCACTCGAGCGATGGCTTAGCGTGTGATGTCACTTGATGATGGTTTGTTTTTTCAGAGTATGACCAATCCACCTAACTCCATTTCTTCCTGAATATTTGTTACACATTTGGTTCCTGCTGGGTTGGTTCGCTGATTACCAGGGATCCCAGAGATCCACAAAGTGGCCACCTGATCTTGAGTGCTATTGAGCGAAAACAGCTGTTGATGAAGGTGTGCAGTTTATTCGAAGTACCCTTCGTGACGCACTTGCCAAGTCTGTGATCCGTATAGTAGCACTGACTGAATTCACATTAGAGTTGAAAATCCGGATCCTGTTTTTCATGCTGAGTAGTGCTGTTGACCTCCACGCAGACATCACTTGACAAGTGAGCCCCAAATAGGCCGAAATGCACCTCATGGATTCCACTTCCAGTCACCCTCCACAAAATTACACAGCATAAGATATATTTACGTACTTATATAACTATCAAAGGTAAACAATTGAAACTGAATGTCAATCGCATGTTTATATTATCCTGTTAGGTGTGTGGATCACCACAGATAATCAAATAAACAAATCCCTTGTGATAAGAAGAAACACACACAATAGATAATCCATGTGATAGAACAAACGCTGAAACAGTTTAGATAGACATTTCGTAAGAATAAGTAACATTTTAATGTAGTCAGTTGAACATTGAATACATAAGGTGGAGTTTTGTTTAAAAAAACTGTCCATTTTCCCATCTTGAAACACACTACACTTTGTCTTAAAAATGGGATAAAATCAAATTCTTTACTTGTTTATTTGTTTATTCTTTCATTTTTTCTCTTTTGAAACATCATCTTTTACTTCATTGCTATTCATAATATGCACATTTGAAGGATGTGCAACCATTATCAAAGTGCATGCCCATAAAAATCTATTTATGTACATACGTGATCCCTGGATTACAGTAAAATTGTAATAAAACTAAACCTGTTTAAAATTTATGCAGATAAATGAAAACAAATCATCACCAATGGAAACCATTTGTGTAATGGATAGTTGTTTCATGGTATCTTGAACACTCTTCAGTGTGTTGTTATTATTTATTATTCAACTGTTGGGTTCCAAGTGGAACGATCTCCTCCATGTCACCCTTGCACTGACGACCCACTCTTCACTCCGCGTTGGGATTCCATTCGAGCAATGACCTGCATTGAGTGCGATGTCATTCGATAGCCTCCTCAACGTATGCCCGATCCATCCATCTCCACTTTCTCCTACATATTTGTTGAGCAATCGACTCTTGGTTGGTTTGTTGCACTGCAGAATTTCTTTTTACTAATTATTCAACAGCTGTACGACAACGGCACATGTCAAGTGATCCACAATAGAAAACTCAGTGAGGCGTTTAAAGTAAACACAGGAGTCAGACAAGGGCGCTTATTATCACCAATGATATTCCTAATTGTGGTGGACTGGATTATGCGTCAGACAGTGGGAAACGAGAAGACAGGGATATCCTGGACCAACGTGAAGAATCCAGGAGACCTGGATTTCGCGCGTGGATGATTTATGTTTGATGTCACGCAAAATCGAAGACTTACAAGCGAAAACCGACAAACTGGTCGAAGAAGCAGCAAAGACAGGACTCCAGGTGAACATAGACAAGACGGAGGTTATGAAAATAACCAACAAACAACAACAACAGTAGCAGCAGCAACATCCACTGCCAATCACCATCAACGGGAGGGATTTGAAAGAGGTTACTTCATTCACTTCACTTAGCTAGGGAGCATTGTCTCAACTACTGGAGGAACGGACGAGGATGTCAAATCGGGAATCGGGAAGGCGAGAAACACATTCATCAACCTGAAACCAATCTGGAAATCTTCGTCACTCAGCCTGCATCAACAACAAAATTCGGATTTTCAATACAAACGTCAAGTCAGTCAGTTCTTCTATACGGATGAGAAACTTGGTGGGTCACCAAGAATATTTCCAACAGCCTGTTGCAGACCTTTATCAACAACTGTCTTCGCTCTATACTGAAGATCAGAAAGAATCACCAACAAGAAACTATGGAAAGAAACAAAACAAGAACCAATCGCTCAGCAAATATGCAGGAGAAAGTGTAGATGGATTGGACACTCGCTGAGGAGGCCAC